TGCTAGATCTTCCAAACGGGCGCGGAAGGAGGTGAAGTCAGTACCTTCAAATCAATGCTTGGCCTGCCATGTCCCCACTAATTGTCACCCCTCAACATTTTGATTTGCATCGGGTCACCAGGAAAGATGGGAAGTTGGATTTTTAAAAAGAACTTGCTCGGATAAACGGCAGTGATCGTCATTCTCGTTCCTGTAAATTTCATTTGTGACACATTTTGTCTGCGACATGAGTTCAAGATCGCTAAGTATCTCGAAGTACTTGTTCTCCAGCTCCCCGGTTTTTTTGCATGCATTCTTGCCCAAGAGCGAGTTTTGACATATTAACACACCGCTAATGATAGAAAACCGTGCGAACGGGCCATTCAATCGCGAAGTGTGAAAGGCCAGTGGTCGTTTGTGTCCGGCCCTATGATCTTTCCAATGCGACCCAGCTGCACTCAGGCTCTTCTTCACTTTTTCGTGGTCGCCCGTTGACTTCGACTACAACGCTCTTGCGCCAGTAGTCATCCTGACACGAGTGATCAGGTCATCTCAGTTGATGGCAGATGGCACCACGAGCAGAGTTTTGACATCCTGATCTTTCATAAATCATCATAAATCTGTGAAGTCATGGAGCTCCTGACTGAGCACTGTCGCTTGTAAACGTTCGCAAATCATCTGCGCCAGGGTGGACTTTCCCGAACGCGTACAGCCCGACAGCGCGATGATTGTAGCCATGGACGAGTTTCGGCACACACCGTTCGGGAGCAAAATACGCTGGCTGCACTCACGTCACAAAAACCGGCATCCAGTTCTAGCGAGTGTCCAAAATGGAAACGGGAAACTACCACTTCTGCGCCCTCCGCCCTAGTAGCATGGCCTCCACCCTAGTAGTTTCTTGCTACTAGTAGGAAGGCCAGGAGCGCCCCTAGTAGCTTCTTGCTCCGTTCGTAGCGATCAGAAGGGTTCAAGTTCGATTCCAAGAGCCGAGTTCGATCTTCTGAGCCAAAACGAGGCGCTCTCGCTTGCTTGCGCGTATGTTGGCCGCTCAAGGCCCAAATCTAAACGAACCGGATTGAGGATCCAGCAATCTTGAGGATCAAGGATGATCAAGGATGAGACATCAAGAAGACAAAGAAAGCTTGTTCTTCTTTTCTCAGGCTGTAACATCACAAAGGCTCATTGAACTCACATGTAGAGCTCGTTCTTCAGGGGGCTGAGAAGTAAAAAGATTGGGACACCATCGTTGCCGCCTTTCCCTTTTGCTCAAGCTGCTGGCACGGCTGCTTTCGGTTGGGCTTTGCCTTCCAGGAAGCGTTTGATTGGCAAACCTTGTTGAGCCCAACCTTGCGAAACTCTGCCTTCAAACGACTGACCTCGTTCCGTTGGAGGGCTGATGAGTGAAAACTCGACAAACTCGACCATCAAGCCACCCACACCCCAAGTTGCAAGAGTGCAGTTGCGAATTCTCTTCCTTTTGTTCTCAAAGCGATTGAATCATGTCATGTTGAATCAAGAATCTCCGGCCTGCAGCACCCTTCGCTTTGGGTGCAGCCTTTGCCTACACACGGATTGCCAAATCGTAGCTGTGGACTATTCACATCCACACCAGTTGAGCCGTGAATGAGTTTACCAGAATGAAGCTGGGTTCGGGCCCTTAGCCACGCCTATGCCAGCATCATGCGGTGTCAATGGTTGTTTCCTATCTAACTGAGGATTGTTCTAGGGACTGTCCAGGTTCGTGTCCAGCCTCCGCTTTGCTCTTGGCTTTAGGTTTTGGTGCAACCTTCGGCGGAGTGCCCGGCTCCGCCAAGGAGGTCTGGAGGCTGAACTTCAACCTGAGACGAGAATTATGGATGTTAACTGCCGAAGTCTGGTGCTTGGCGGGCAGAAAGCTATTTCTGTTTGATCTATTTATATAGTAATAGTATATTATATAGTATATACAGTTTCGCAGTTTCTGATTCTTCAATATTATTAACCTTTTCTGCTCCCTTCGGAGGACTTAATCGTCTGAAACATCTGTATAGGTTGACCAATCCTGCTTTCTGAAGAGCTGTGTTGTGACCAGACCAATCCTGCTTGACTTGTTGTGAAAATATTTACCGGCCAACAGGATTGCCTTGATGATCCTAAAAAACAGCTCTGCACTACACATGAAATGTTCCACAAGGGCGGCAAATATTATGAAGCATCAAAATGCTTGGAAGTACACCGCAGGGTCTACCGGGGTCTACACGTGCCACCACCAAGGGCTTTCGTTGGTGCTCTATGGTCTAGGCACAGGCCGTTCACTGGTCTATCACAAACATTAAAAACACATCAAAACACATGGTTTCTGCAAGTTCAGAACTTTTTGACTGCTACGTCCATAGTTTTAGTTTGGGTTGCGCCAGCCGGTGTGCTTCTTCGAGTCGGTTTCTGACGCCTCCTTGGCACAAATCTCATCGGCGAGTATAGGCGATGGGCTCCCCAACGAGGCTTTCTGATATCCAGGCACCGCTGCTTGCCCAGGAAGCTTTTGAAACTGCAGTGACTTGAGAAAGCGAGATGTGCGAAATCCATGATGGCCCATACCAACACACCAAACTCACAAACCCACAGTACGCTTCCGAACTAGAGGTCTATGGCCTGCCTGCTTTTGTCACCTTCCAGGATATGTGACGGACACCATAAATATGTTGGTATGCTGTGTCATTGTGTGAAAGTATAAGCACTGATACATGAAAATGATCGGCGTCCCTTTGCCAGGGCAAAAGCTTTGGCGGACACTGAAGTCAAATAAACTTCCACTCCCAATTCGCACTCACCTTGATGGTATGCTCCACAGGGGGGAGATCTTGCTTGTGACAAATCTCCTGCAATGCATGCTGTGCCATTGCTTACTGTCTGGGCGAGAGTAATCCTAGATTAAGTCTTCGAAACTGTGTGATTCCTGCAGCCAACCTAAGAGAAATGGCATCCAACCTAATAGCGATGGCCTCCAACCTAATAGCCATGGCCTCCAACCTAATAGCGATGGTCTCCAACCTATTGGCGATGGCCTCCAACCCAAATTAGTAACCTAATAGCGATGGCCTCCAATCTAAGAGCGATGGACTCCAACCTACTAGCGATGACCTCGAACCTAACAGCGATAGCCTCCAACCTGAGAGTCGGAACCAAAATACAATCGGCCATTGACCAGCGTTTCAATTGTAGAAGATTCCAAAGACTCTTACAACTCGTATTGTCGCTAGAAAAGACCTCAAGTCATTCAACAAGGACACCAACCAACTGTCTATTTCGAGGAATTACATGTTGGGCTTGCGCACTGCGGCGCTTTTTCTGCGGCGCACTAGACTCCTCCGACACTTGCATAACGTGATGTGCTACAGGGTAGTCCGCCATGGGAGCGTTGCTGTCCCACAGGATCTGAGTGCAAACGATTCGCACGCGATTCGATTCAACCGGATATAGAAGGGAGCATTCAAAAAAGGTCTTGCCAATGGTTCTTTTCATGACATTGTTCAGTGATTTCAACTTCAAGCGTGCAACGTGTGAGCTTGCTAGTTGAGCCCATCAAACAGCGATCAGGCACCTCCCAACCCGGCTAACTTCACGCTGGGGAGCAGACGATCTGGACGAACATGCTTGGATCTGCAGGCAAAGTTGCCTTTATCTCCTAAGCGTGGAGTCTACACCCATCGCACGGAAGATATGTGGCGTGTCCCAAATGGAAATTGGAGAACTTAGCTTTCTTGACAATATGCACGCACACGAAATGCTCTGCTTGTACCACACAAGGCAAGATTGAAGCCTCGACTTTGCGCTCCAATTCTACCAGCGCATCAACCTAAGAGCGATGGCCTCCACCACCCGAGTAGCGATGGCCTCCAACCCACTAGCAATGGCCTCCAGCCCAATAGCTATGGCCTCCAACCTGATTGCAATGGCCTGGTATTTCAAACAACTTGTGGACCTTCTCCTCCCCATCCTAGTCGCGCTTGATCCGATATATTGCCGCCTGGTTTCAAGACATTGAGTATTCACACATATACATTAAAACATGCATCATGAGTTGTTTGTCCTGGTTGTACTTGGGAGCCACTGTGTCGGTGTGCACTTGCGTCCTGCCATGTGATCTCACAGCGTTTCTCGGTGCGTTTGCTTCACAACACGCTTTTCTTTCGTCAGTGGTACGATGTGGTACGTCACAAGTCCAACGAAGCTGCGTTTCGATGCACGGAGAATTCACGACAGAATCACTCATCATGTCTCAGTCGAATCTTTCTCCTCTGCCCATCGCTGATGTCGGGTACTTGGATCACTTCACTGGTCGGTATACAGAATTCTTGGACTGGACAGATGCATATCATCCGAATTCACCCGACATGTCCATGGTGAAAAGGAAGCAAGGCGAAGCAAAGCAAAGCAAAGTTGGCTCTGCCGACAGTGGACAATCACCTCGCTATCAAATGGAGTCGCAGTTTTCATCAAACGGCGACGGCGACTGTGCTGACACTTGCAAACGAACAGAAGCACAGCAAGCATCCCACTCTCGGCCTACTCCAACCGGCCGCGTCTAATCCTGATCAGGTCGCCCAAAAGTTACCCCAACCCTTCAGAGTCCATGTGTTCATTGATGTTGGGAGCAAGAACGCTACTACCAGTAGGGGCCCTACTACTAGGAGCAAGAAGCTACTAGGGGCTCCTGGCATCGCTACTAGGAGCAAGGACGCTACTAATTGAATTAATGACTCTGCGTTTACAAGGTCCACAGGGCACAAGTCATCCTCTCAGAAACGTGGAAACAAGCTCACAGGAGCTGCAGGTAATTGCCCTGCACTTCCACTGCAATTCTGTTGACGGATGGGCAATTCAGAGGCTAGGCAGATGGTGCAGCCTTACACTACGTGACACATCATTACATCCCACAGGTCCCAAAGGGTTCCAAGGCTGAAGGAAGGAGCTTGACTCAGTCATGGGTCTTGCACAAAGATTTGAAAGCTCACCTAGTGACAAGTCTGGACGCCGTTGGCTCTTGGCCAACCAACCCAACAAGATCTTGAACTATGCCCAACTATGTCCATCCTTTTGAAACACTTCGCGGCGCATCCATGCGCTGAAGTATCTAGCCGGGCCGGGATGGGCGGAGATATTCAGCCACAGAGAAGCAGCCACTTCAGGATGCTTCCAGGGCCTCCCAACCAACCTGGACCTGACTTTGCTCATGAGTTAAAGTCAATTATATATACATGAACACTTGCTCTCAGACCAAGCTAAGTAGGTCACCTCTCGCGCGAAATGTCTCATGAAGCATATTCATGCGCTTGCGCTCAGCAAAGGACTCCACATGGTCATAAGCAGTGTAGCCCCTACTATCCTTGCACATGGGATCTGCTCCGTATTGAAGCAGTAAGAAAATCACTTCCACGTTCTTCTCCTTGCAAGCTTGATGCAAAGGTCGCTGAAATGAAGGAATGAGGCCGAAACATTTGGTCTTCTTCGATCCTCCTGTTGCATTTACATCACTGGAGTCGAAGCCGTGCTTCTCAAGGAAATCCGTGAGAAGTTGTCTCTCCTTCGCTCGCTTCTTTCTCTTTTGTAGCTCCCTTGCTTCTTCCATGTGCTGCTTCCGTTGCTGCTTCATCCTCTTGTAAGTCTCGGCCACTACAATGTCTCCTTTCAAGAGGCTGATGGGTTCCAAGTCTGAGGTGAGCTTGCAGCGTCCTCCGACATACTCAAACTCAAAGCTTTCGGTAGTGGCCATGGCACTCTGGTGGCAATTTTATCTCAGCATCAGAGTCCCAACACTTGCTTAATAAACAGCCTGCGGCGGATTCTAAATATTCACTTGAGCTTCACAGCTTAACCCCCCAACATACAAAATAGGATGGTGAACTTGTTACAGAAGGGACAAAAGGAAGGAAGGAAGGCAGGCAGGCAGAAAGACACAAGAAAATCGATCTTACCGTACTGCTGTTACTAACACCCATCTCATGATTTCTCTCCCACGGCTAAGAACGGAACAGCTTGCTCTGCTCGTCTATATATGATGTGTTTTGCCGACTGCCTAAGCCCCTAAGCGCCGCTTGCGCCTGCCACTCCAAATGCACTTGGGATCGTCAAAGCAAAAGTCGGTTGTCCTTGAAAATCGGCCACACACCAAAACGGGGATCTTAGGAACCTCATAGCAATAGGAACCAAACGAAGCGATGGCCACACAAACCGGAACGAAGCTTCGTTTGGCTCCTCACATCGGTGCGCGTGGCGCGTATCTCAATGAAGGAGTCGATGCCGCCAAACTGGTCCACCTGGTCGCAATGCCGAAAGTGGACGGAGAGGTCTGTGCTGGGGATCTTAGGAAGGCATCTCTTCACTAAGTTTCCCCAATGCGAGCTATCCTGCGACCATATATAGTAGCTTAAGTAGCTAGCAGCTAGTGGCTTACTCCCTTACTACCTAATTAAGTAGGGAGGCGGGGCCTCCCATTGGGAATCACAAATCGATGCTCTTTCGAGTTCTGCGTTGCTTCAACAACTGAGAACGGCAGCTTGGCCGAGTTCCGCCAATTCCGGCTGACATCAATGGAATGCTGGGCTATGCTGGTTACGTTGAATGAGGTTCCGAGGATTCTTCGGGTTCCGCTCATTCCAAGGTCCGTTCGAAGGACGCACCAGGCTCGATTCGGCTCCATGACGCTGCCCGGTGCTCCGATCCCTTCCGATCCCCACCATATTGTTTCTACTAGCTTCTTGTTACTAGTAGCTTCTTGTTACTATTAGTAAGGCACTTGTTACTAGTAGCTTCTTGTTCCTAAGCAATGGCCTCCAACCAGCAAAGGAACCTAATAGCAATGGCCTCCACCCTGATAGCGCGATGGCCTCCGGAAAGCGTTCGCCCTCCTTGAGGTTGAAGATGAACTTCATGGCCTTCCATGCCCGAGAAGGCACCCGATCTCGATCCGCTGCAAGATGAAAAGTGCAAAGCGCGGAGCTGTGCTGAAAGCAATCGCCTTCCGTCATTTTCATGCCAATAATCAGGTATCAAGGGTGATAACCTTCCCTTGCGCAACCGTTTAAAGTGAGAACTGAAGAGGCCCTAGATGGCCCACATGGTCTGGACGTTTCACAGACGGCATCTTGGACTGTCTCAGGTGTGGTCTCGCTTTCCCTCTTTAACTTGTGCGTTTACAGAGATTCTTCGAGGTTTCTTCCCGGGAAACATGGTGCGATGGAGAAATCCGACTGGCCTCATGCAACGTCACATTGAATTTTGCTTTGATGTCCTTCTTGGTCGCAACTTCTGCCCTCACAAGGCTGCAGGAGCGGTCTTGATGGAGGCCAAAAGAGAGAAACATGACGCAACATGTAAACATATAAGCCTGCCATTCCACTGGTTTTTGGTTTTCATACAGAAGTTGTTGAACAGGGACCATCTACATTCTAAAACCATATAAAACCTATACAAGTTCTCTACCATTTCACACGGCAAGAACGTTCTCCTATCTATGGTCGCCTTGCAATTGAAAAACAAACACGGACAACTGTCGCTGATCCAAAAAAATCGCAAACCAATCACAAAAGCACACAGCACACATCTCTTTTAATCTGGCAACCCTCACACATGTCCAAATCTGTCAGACCATTAGACCTGCTCTGCCAAGTAGCTTGAACACGAGCTCTTTTGCAATTGCCGGAGGAGGTGCCTGCTCGGTTCCCATGAGCCGCTCGGAAGAACGGTCAGGTTACGCCGGTGGCAAACGTCTTACCGTCTTTCCATGAGTTGCGAACGCCATTGCTACAAGTCTATATGTTTCTTTTGTTGAGACTTCATGATCTCTTTCTTTCCTATATTTTTTATATGGATCCCACCTACGTTCACTTTGTGATCCAACGCAAACGCGCACGCACTGGTTAGACATATTGAGCGCTGAACAAATAGCGCTGACGTGCTCGAGCACTCCGAAGAATGCTCAACAATACCAAAACAAATCATTGATTATCCCGGCAAGAGACCCCAAACAGTGTGTGTGTGAGGTCTGTAAGCAGAAAGTCTAGAGATCTAGACGCATTGGGGTCCAGAGAGGTGATGGCGGTGATGAAGTGAATGTGGGTGTGAGTGAGTGTGGGTGAGAGGGAGTGTGAGTGTGAGTGAGAGTGGGAGAGTGAGTGTGAGTGCGAGTGTGAGTGAGTGTGGGTGAGAGTGAAGGTGGGTGTTAGTGAGTGTGGGTGAGAGTGAGAGTGAAGGTGGGTTTTGGTGAGTGTGGGTGAGAGTGAGAGTGTGTGTGCGAGTGAGAGTGGGAGAGTGAGTGTGAGTGAGTGCGAGTGTGAGTGAGAGTGAGAGTGGGAGTGTGAGTGAAAGTGAGAGAGTGAGAGAGTGAGCATCTGAGAGCACAAAGTACTTCGCCTGCCACGAAATCTGCACTTCGAGGTTCACCATGCAAGCGCTGTGCCTGCCACGAAATCTGCACTTCGAGGTTCACCAAGTGCTGCGCCTGTCACGAAATATGCACTTCAAGGT